TGATTAATTGGTTCATTTAAGTATGTAGTTAAAATGTTAAAAGATTGCAAAGTAAGTGAACTTGGACTGCATTAAAAATGGACCAAAAGGCTAAAATGTGTAAAGAGCCGGCTTAAGAAAATGTGCAATCGGCTCTGGAAGGCAAAAATGCAGAGAGTCGGCTGCAGCTTTTAAGAGCTGGCTTTACGGGTGAAACTTTCAAGTCCGTTGTTTGGCGCACAGGGAAAATGGATGCTAAGCCGGCTTTGACTTTGCAACCGATTGTAGCAGTGCATTTAATGCACAACGGTCGAGTTATTTGAAAATTATTTAATGTGTTTAAAGTTGGAATCCCAAAGCAGGCTTTTTGATTTACAGCCGACTGTTCAAGAAAATAGAATGTGTAGAAACCCCGCAAAGCCGGCATTACGTTTTTCAGCCTACTCTACAGAGAAAACAGAATGTGCAGGGAGCCCGCAAAACTGGCTGGGCTATAGAGCCGGTTCTAGAAGTGTAAGCCAACTGTGCTGATAATTCTACAAGTCAAATTAAGTGACCTACAGAGCATTAAATGACCATTAACGGCTAGTAGCAGCTATTTTTGACCATGGGGTTATAAATATGGTTGGTAGAATATCTGAAAGAAGTTTTTTAAAGAGCATTGTATTGAATATTTTTACCTACCAACTTGTGCTTTAACTTGAGATTTTAATCTCTAAGAGATCTTTACTTGTAATCCTCTTCTTGTTCTATTTGTGAGTGATCTTGGGGGTGTGATTATTCCTTTAAGAGTGATTTGTAGAGAGGATTGTTTGAGTTTATCTTGTAAAAGGGTGAGATTTGAGAGAAACACTATTTTTCTTGTAAAATGATTGAGTGGCTCCTTTAACCCACCCTTGATTTTGTTAGTGGAGAGTGTGGAGTACATCCTTGGTGAATGAAGTCAAGGTGGAGGACTAGGTTCCAAGTGGTTGAACCAAATTTCTATAAAATCATTGTGTAAACTCTTCTTTCATACTTTCTCTTTGATTTTTGTTTGGTGATTGCAAAGAGATGAAAAAATTTCAACTCCAATTCACTCTCTCTTGGAGTACATTGAGTTAACAATTATCAATTGTTATAAATAAAATTTAAAAAAAAACCTAACTAATGATACTTCCTAATTACTATAAATAAAATTTTAAAAAATTAACTGATGATTCCACTTGATTGGTGAGCGAAAAATGATTCGTATATGTATGGTGAGCGAAAACAAACTAATAATACCACTTGATTGCTATAAATAAAAT